GGAGAGGGCATAAGTGAGGAGAAGCAGATATAATTAATCTGCTAAAAATTGATTGTTTCCCTATTACATCTAATTTATAATATTAGGTAATTAAATGTTCCAAAGAGCTATTATATTTAAATAAGTGCTTAATTTACTCCTAAATGGAAATTAAAAACTATTTTAAAACAGATTTGTTTATTTTTTAATAATAGGTATAATTCTACATATCACAAAATTCACCATTTAACAGTGTACAATTCAACATTTTTTCATATAGTCACAATCACTAGCACTATATTTATTCCAGAACATTTTCATCACCCCAAAATGAAACCCCTTACTCATTAGCAGACATGTCCCATTCCCTCCTCACCCCAGCTCTTGGCAATCACTATTCTACTCTCTGTCTCTACGGATTTTCCTATTCGGGACATTTCATACATTTGATACAATATTTGGTCTTTTGTGATTAGTTTATTTCACTAGCACAATGTTTTCAAGGTTCATCTATATTGCAGCATGTATCAGTGCAGCATTCCTTTTTTTGTGGATAAATAATATACCATTATATTGTAGGAGGCCAGAATATGCCTCCCTAAAATATGAAGGACTATTGAATTGAGCAGCAGATGCAGAAAATCTTTCTGCCCTGTTTGCCTAAAAGCAGGACATAAAATTGTAAAGATATTTCCCCTCCCTTCTCTACCAGGAAGGACAGACACTTATCACTGGAGATGACTATGGGCCCTTATCTGATGGAAACAGCATGAGAGGAGTCTATATGACAAACCTTACTAATTAGACCTTATCTACTCTTAGTTCCCTATATATTTACTTTCCTACTTCTGAAAGCCTAAAACTGCTTTATTTTATCTCATCAGTTCTTTAAGATTTGCTGTTCTTTGTTGAAGGTGCTATACGAGCCAGAGTTCTCAGTCACTGTTTTAAATTAACTTTCATGGAGGTTTCTCCAGGGTGATGTGCAATATGTGTTAATAAACTTGTTTCTTATTAATTATCTTCTGTTATAGGAACTGGTTCCAAATGTAAACTCATAAGGATTGAGGAAAATTATATTTCTTCCCTGACAATACAGATACATCACATTTTGCTTATTTATTCATTGATTGGTTGACATTTAGGTTATTTCAATTTTGGGGGGCTACTATTAATAGGGCTGCTATGAACATTCATTTACAAGTCAATGTGTGGATAAATATTTTCATTGCTCCTGGGTATATACCTAGGAGTGGAATTGTGATCTCATATGAGTACTCTGCCCTTAATTTTTTGAGGAATTGCCAAACTGTTTTCCAAAGTGACTGTCCCATTTTACATTCCCATCAGCAAGAACAAATGTTTAATTTCTTTTGCACTCATCTACCTTTTTTTTTTTTTAAATTTATAGCCATTGTATTAGTCAGCTTTGAGTCACTGTGACCAAGACACCGGACAAGAACAAATTAGAGGAAGGAAAGTTCATTGTGGCTGGCGGCTTCAGAGTTTTAGTCCAATGGTTGGTTGAGTTTGTTGCTCTGGGCCCCAGGGGAGGCAGAACATCATGGTGAATGGGCTTAGCACAAGGATGCTGCTCACTTTATGAAGGCCAAGAAGCAGAGAGAGGAGGGAGAAGGGGCTGCAGGACAGATGAACCCTTCCAAGGCAAATTCCCTGTGACCGCCTCTTCCAGCCACACCCCATCTGCAGTTACCACCCAGTTAGTTCATTGGAACTAGCATGGGCCGATTAGGTTGTAGCTCTCATACTTCAGTAATTTTACCCCTGAATATTCTGCCTTAATACAAAAATTTGGGGGGACACCCCATCGTGAAACCATAACAGTCATCTTAGAGGGTGTAAGGTGGTGTCTTATGGTTTTGATGGTTAATGATGTTGAGCATCTTTTCGTGTGCTCATGTCTATTGATATTAACATTTTTGAGGAAACCACCTATCTGCTCAAACCACCTATGCTTTTTAAAAATGGGGTGGTATCTTTCCTGTTGTCCTGTGCGAGTTCTTTTTTATTATAGAAACAAATCCCTTACTGGCAATGTGATCTACAATCCTTTTCATCCATTCTGCAAGTTCTTCTAAATGCTGATTTATATTTATGCAACACTTGTTTATTCGGGGGTTAAAGCTTTGTCTTTCTCCAGGATTTCTTCGAATTTAGAGGAACCAGGACTCACAGCACACTCTAGAGAGAGTAGGTAGGAGAAGGAAAAAAGAACAGTGTCTAGCAGAGAGTAATGTGCTCAATTAACTTCTGCAGATGAATTAATAAAGTCTCTGTATTTATTAATACCAGTACTCTGACTTGTGTTCCTCTGCTGGACTTTGAGCGGCAGTATTCATTTCATGGCTTAGAGGTCCCTGGGGAAGTATGAAGTTTTGGAAAGGTGTACCTGCTTCCGTGTTCATCCTCTAAACTGTGTGTTTACTCCACAGATGCGCTAAAGCGTAACCACTGCCATATGGGAAATCTGCAGGTTTTTCATACAAAGAAGCAGTGTTGTGCTCTGCTCTTTGGGTTTGAGAGTCGCTGACTTAGAGAAAGAAACAGTAGTGTTGTCTTCTTGATGTTGACTCTCTAGAGTGTTTTCAATTTGGCTTGGACTTTCTTATGAGGGATGTTTATTTGGAGATTCACTTAGGAGATTTCACACTTAACTTCAGTCCTTCTGACCCAGGGGTGGTTCTCTCTGTGTGGCTTACCATCCTGTTGACCAGGGACATAGCTGTAGGAAGATGGATCTAAGGTATCAGGGAGGCAGGCCACTCTGCCTATTGGGTCAGCTGAATCCTCTGGAGAGGACCTAGAGATAGTCCTAGTCAGGCTGCCTACATTTGCATATCACTTATAAAAGTCTATCAAGATCATTTTGCAAATGAAGTTTGACATAATCCACGGTACATTTGTCAAATCGCAGGAAAAATCAGAATGATTCAAAAATGGGGTAGAGTCAAAGGAATTCTAGTAGAAACTATGAAACCAAAGAAGGAATAAGTATGAAGGAAACATGGTGGGTAAAGGAAGAGGAACAAAGAGAAGCAAGGCACTCGCTTGTAACTGGATATAAACAAGAATGTAACTTTACACAGGCAGAGCTGACTGCTAGTGTTACTCAGCTCGGTTACCCATCTGTTGTATTCGGCCAAGATGACTCTGGGCATGTGTATGACACACATACGGATGCAGGCACTTGCTGACCACTGAAATATCCACGTGGTTATGAACATGTAAACAGTCCCATCAGTGAATAGGGAATTTTTAAAAATTAGTTTACAGAGTATCTTAGTCAATTCTAGTGCTGCTATAACAAAATACCTCAGACTGGGTAATTTATAAACAAAAGAAATTTATTACTCAAAGTTCTGGGAGCTGGGTGTATGAGCTTAAGGTGTCAGAAGATTTGACATCTGGTAAGGACTTATTTATTTATTTTTTAATAGATGGAGCCTTCTACCTATGTTTTTACATGGCAGAAGAGGCACATAAGCTCCCTTGACCTCTTATGTGAGGCCCCCGATTCCATAGTCACGATATAATCACTCCCCAAGTTCCACCTCTTAAAACTGTTACATTGGGGATTAGGTTTCAACAGACCCCAGTATGTTTGGGGTGTGCAAACATTCAGACCAACAGTTCATATGAATATGATTATTATCTTAATCTGGTTTAGAGAAAACAATTTCTAAATCTAAATAGCCATCTATAATATAATATTGTATTTATGCAATTCTTTTTCTTCCCCCATAAATGTAAGCATTTTTAAGATTATGTGATTGGTCATTATTCCAATATCCACCACAAAGGAAAGAAGCTGTTTTACCTATTGACTCAAGACTCAGAAGCAAATTGACCCTGTTCTGGAGGAGCAGAAAAAAAGGTCACTGATATTTAAACAGCTGAATGGAGCTAGGATGTGAATTAGTCATTTTACATACATAAATTTTTTTTTAACCCCCGGAATAACCCCAGAAGGGGTTGTTATTATCCTTTCATAGATTAAAGAGAATTGCCCAAATCATTGAACTAGTAATGGTGGAACCAAACCACGTCTGTCATAGTTTATAGCCATATTCTTGGAGTTATGACATGTTTTATTTGCCAGTTCCAATGGAAGGATGTTGACTTTAAGGATGTGGGAAAGGAGTCTAGGCTCATGCTCAGTTACTCTGTCCCATGCTTATAGAAATGGGATAGAAACATCTAATGCAGAACCCAAAACATAGCAGATCAGTGCATTTGTGATAGGCTTCATTTCTAAGGGACTGAACGGAGGTTTTCATTAGAGAAGGGTCTGTATTTTGAGGGAGCTAATGATAGACTCTGCAAATGACAGACTCTGTTTCTCACAACTGAGTTTTTATAATACTTTCCCTTCTCCTCCCCTTTCTGCTGAAAGTATGATACTAGCTATGATTAATTTTCTCAACCCCCTTCCCAGCTCTCCATATCTGCCCGTTTCTTCATTCTGTAAAAGGGTCTCCTTCCTTAGAATGACATCGTCCCTCTATTTGAAAGGTAAGCAACCTTCATCCAGTGAAACATGGAGTGCAGCAGAAATTCATTTCTGGGGTTAGTGGCCAATGAACAGATGACTGGCAGGTCAGTATTTCTTGACAAGGACATGACAGCTTTGATCACCACAGACAAAGGCAGGATCAGTGATAATCTTATAAAAGGATGAAAACATTTAACCAGATTTATACACAAACCACACTATCTCTTTTAGTTTTGTGAATGACAGTATTCTGTTTTTTACATCAGTGTTTAAATGTTCAGTTTTCAGGATTGGATTGATAGATTTAAACCTCTGATTTTTACACATTAAAAAAGAACCTTCCATTTTCTTTTGCAAATTATAGCTATCATGTTCCTCCATTTGTCTTTATTAGGTTTTGACATACATAGAAACATCAGTCTCCCAGGAGCATCTCAACAGGTCCATTATTTTGCAGTAAGACCTGTGGGAGCCTTCCGTTCTGAACCCCGGTTAGCTCCAGACTTACCACACCACTTCACTTTCCAGTTACGATTGGCATCTACTCCACGGCAGTGGAACCTTGAGTTCCTTGACCTTGTTTTTCTCCAAAATCGATCCTACATAATTAAGAAAATAGGCAGAGAGAAAAATACTTAAAAGATTATTCACATGCATTTTAGTAGCTCAATCAGTGAAGGTGTTGCATTACTGAGGAGAGAGTTCCTCCACCAATAGATGAGCCTGGAGAGTGGACAGAGGACCGGATTAGCACTAGAGACCCAGGATCATGCTCCAGTCTCTACCATGAACCTCCTGCCTCCTACTGGCTCTTGGTTTCATTTCTTTACAGGCAACACTGAATGGGTTGGACTAGACCAATGATTTTTTTCATGATTTATTTGGAAGGAGCAGTTTTTATTTACATGAAATCTTACACAGAGGCGAGATATGAAAGTAAAATCAAAAGGCTGGTGCTCTGATTGGGGAGGAAGTGAAGACCCCTTCTGCATCTCTGGAATCACTTAGTGGGCTGCCCACTGAGGCACCTTCCTGTTCTATGATTGTTTTCTATGACTTATTCAGTCCTCTTTTCAACTGGATAGGCCAAGCGACTTACATGTGTCCAGCTAAAATGGTATCCGTCAACATTAAAGACAGGCATGATATAGAAATACAGATGTTTTAACATTTTTCTCATGGCTGCATCACTCCTATATGTTAGAAGGGCCTAAAAGACAAAGGAGATATTTTTCTTATAAATTGATCCCAAATACAGGTTTAGGAAAAAAAAAAAAGAGCATGAGAAAAGCTTTCTATCCATATGAAATACCAAATACACTGGTTAAAAAGTAGCAAGTTACCATGAACTATATTATTTGACATCACACATTCCTTATTGAGACTTTGACCTGAATTAAATTCTTTCATATCAATAATAATTTATCAGAGCTGGTAAAAACAGATGAAGCGAGAACCCTCTTGCAATATTACAGATCTGACCAAAGTTTTAGGCTGATGAAGAAAGTAACAATTATAGATATGCCTTCTTATGATCAGTTCATTTCAAATTCCCTTTAATTGTGAACAAAATAATTAGCTGTGTATATTTGATGTACTTACATGATATATCATATCACTTACTAGTTGTATGTCACTTGATTGTTTATTTCTAATTGGTACCAAACTCAAGCTTTGGAACTCGGTACATAGAAACTCTATTCTTTGTTCCTGACTTTTCTTTTTTCTTTCTTTTTAGTCGTATTAATTTTTCCCACATTTTTATTGGTATATTACTGTTGTGCATAGTTATGGTATTTGTTGTTACATATTCATACATGCACACAATATAACAATATGTAATTTGGCTAGTATCACTCCCTGCTCCCAACTTTTCTATGAAAAGTTTAATGGAGAGTACACAATTTGTCATCTTAACTGTGGCTTCTTTGAAGTCTTGTTCTGGTGATGTCTGATCCCAAGTCTGAAGATTCTACACTGAAGATGTAGACTCATAGAAAAGCACAGCATGTACTGAATCAAGTTGGTAAAAGAGACATTTGAAATTCTCTGCTCTGGAATGGACTTATTTAAAAGTTATTTTTGATGCATGTTTGTCTATGTGTAGAATATCTTGGAAGAACACATAGGAATTCTCTAACTACGGTTGCCTTTGGGGAGACAGACTGGAGGACAATGTGTGAGAAGGAGTCTTACTTTTCACTTAAATTTTGTGAATTTTTACTAGATTAACAGCACAATTAAAAATAGTTATTTACAAAAAGAAATCTTCCACTTTTTAAAGGTCTGATTGGCATACAAAACCTGTATATATTTAAGGTATACAACTTGCTGAATTTAGAGATAAGTATATTCTTTTAAAGTTTTTTTTTAGTTGTAGATGGACACAATGCCTTTATTTTCTTACGTCGTGCTGAGAATCGAACCCAGTGCCTCACACATGCTAGGCAAGTGCTCTACCACTGAGCTACAACCCCAGCCCAATAAGTATATTCTTATGAAACCATCACCACAATCTATCATACAAATATATTCATCATCTCTCCTGTCTTCTTTATTATTATTTTTGTGTGGCAAGAACACTTAATATAAGGTACACCCTTTTAAAACATTTTTTTAATTCATTCTTTGTAGTTAAATATGACAGTAGAAGGTGTTTTGACATATACATACATGGAGTATAACTTCCCATTCTTTTAAATAGAGAATACAGCATGGTTAACTGTAAGCACTATGCGGTACCACAGATAAACCTCTAGGACTTACTCATTCTGTATAACCCAAACTTTGCCTTTGTGCCCTTTGACAGTGCTTCTCCATTTCTCTCTTCCAATTTAATCCTTGAAAACTCAATCTTCTTTTATATCTATGTAAGTAAAATTTCTGAGCTTATCATAAGCCATATTCTGTATATACATGGTAAGAATTTTGTTCATAGGGAGAATTCTAATAATAGAAATTTTTAGAAACGATCACTGTTTTAAGTAATAATGAAAATATATGGGTATACTCTGAAAACATGAGTTAGATATCAATTTCATTACATAAGATTTCAATATCCATGATATTGACCTAATTTGATGTATATTACTTTGGTCCTTTCTTGTTCTCTTTTTAAAGGCTCAATAATAATCTGTTGGTCAACTAACTTCAACAGAACTTCCATGTATGAATTTTTTTTAAAAAAAATATTTTTTTTTAGTTATATATGGACACAATATCTTTTTATTTATTTATTTTTATGTGGTGCTGAGGATGGAACCCAGTGCTTCACACCTGCGAGGCCAGCGCTCTGCCACTGAGCTACAACCCTAGCCCTCACGTAGGAATATTTTTATTTACTGAATTTCTATTAACTGTCTAATGCCTCAAACTAAAGAGAAGGACCTGGTGTGTGGTAACTTGCTCACATCCTGGAATTCTGTTTTCCTCTAATAAGCAGAGATTCTTCTGCACTCTGAGGATTTTTTCTGCTGGGGACAGCAGGGGCATAGCTACACAGTTAATGACATTTTTCCCTCACTATTTGGCAGCTTTGGCTTCCCATGCTGCTCTAGGAAGAAAGAGAGAAGGGAGGAGAAAGGAGCTGGGGCAGAAAGGAAGGAAAGAGGTAGTAGGAAAAAGTCATGGTAATTTTTCTCCTTCTCTTCTTGCATCCAGGAGAGGAGCCCATTTGTCCAAACTGGTGAGTCCAAACTCCCATCTTTCTGAGCACAGAGAGTTTAGTATTTCTGTGGCAGTATCTGCTAGAGATCTGTGTGGAAACTCTCACTTTATGCTGTCTTCTCTTTCAATGCAAGTCATCGTCATATCTTTATATTGAAAAGAATAGTTCTAACTTCCTTTTATTTTTTTAAAGTAAATTTTACCTTGTATATTTAGGTTGACAATAAGATGTCACACACACACACACACACACACACACACAAACACATGGTAAAATGGTTTCTATAGTTCAGAAAATGTATCATTTCACATAATTACTTGTGTGAGCAACTGCCTGCTTGATTAAAAAAAACTCAAATGCAATTTCATTAACGATGGTCTCATGTTGTATCTGCTATTTTTGTGTGTGTGTCCTTTGATCAACTCTCTCCATTTCCTCTTCCTACCCCCACCTTTGGCCCCTGATCACCACTGTTTTATTCTCTCTTTTATTCTGTTTTCATATAGAAGTGAGATCATATGATATTTTTCCTTCTGTGTCTGGGTTATTGCACTTGGCACAGTATTCTCTAGGTTGACCCATGTTGTCACAGACACCAGGATCTACCTTTTTTGAAGATGGAATAGTATTCCATTTTCTGTATTCATTTTTTTTCTCCCATAGATGCTAGTGTCGTTTCCATCTCTTAGTTATTATAAATAATGCCACATTGAACATTTGGAGTGTGAACATCTTTGTGTGTGGTTGATTTTCTCCCCTTTGGGTATATACCCTGAAGAGGGGTTGGCAGGTCATATTCTATTTTTAATTTCTTTTGGAACCTTCATGCTATTTTCCCTAGTGTCTATACCAGTCTATATTCCCACCAACAGTGTACTAGAGACCAGCAAGCAATGTGCTTCCCCTTTCTCTAAGTGTTGTCACCAAAATTTGTTATTTCTACTTGGAATGGAACCACCATTTGACCTAATTATCCCACCCCTTGGCATATCCCCAAAGGATATATACCAGCATACTACAGTGATGCAGCTACATCAATGTTTATAGGAACTCTATTCACAATAGCTAAGTTTTGGAACCAACCTAGATGCCCTTCAACAGATAAATGGATAAAGAAAATATATGAAATTATGGAATTTGCCAGTAAATGGATGGAATTGGAGACTATCATGCTAAGTGAAATAAGCCAATCACCTGAACTAAAGACCTAATGTTTTCTCTGATATGCAAATGCTGACTCACAATGGAGGAGGGGGAGGCAAGAATAGAAGTTCATTGTATTAGACAAAGGGGAATGAAGGGAAAGGAGGGAGGGATGAAAATAGGAAAGACAGTAAAATAAATCAGACATGACTTTTCTATGTTTATATATGAATACATGACCAGTATACAACCACAAGGGTGGATCATAATTAGAATAAGTTATACTTTATGTATATATGTCAAAATGCACTCTACTGTCATGTATTTCTGAAAAGAACAAATAAAAAAATTAAAAACAAAACAAAAAACAAGCAAAAATTATTATTATTATTATTTTCTTTTTAGTGGTACTGGAAATTGAACCCAGAGGTTCTTTTACCACTGAGCTACATCTCTAGCACTTTTTAAAATTTTGAGACAAGGTCTTGCTGAGTCACCCAGGCTGGCCTTGAACTTGCTGCTTCAATCCTACTGCTTCAGCCTCCCAAGTAGCTAGGATTAGAGGTGTGTATCACTAAGCTGATTTTCTTCACTTTTTGATAACAGCAATTCTAACAGGTGTGAGGTAGTATATCATAGTAGTTTTAATTTGTTTTCCCTGATTATTAGTGATTATAAATAAATACCTTTTTCATATATGTGTTGGCCCTTCTAATATCTTCTTTGGAAGGTGCTTTGCCCATTTAAAAGATTAAGTTATTTGTTTTTATGTTATTAAGTTACAAGCATTCTTTATAAATTTTGGATATTAATCTTCTTATCAGATGTCATTTACAAATATTTGTTCATTACAAATATTTGTTCATTGCAGAAATGTTTTACTTCAATGTAAAACATTACTTGCTTTTTGTAGCCTGGGCTTTTGGTGTGATAGCCAAAATTTCAAGGCCAAGGTCAAAAATCAAGGAGCTGTCCCCCTATGTTTTCTTCTAGGGGTTTTGTGTGTATATATATGTGTGAGTGTGTGTGTGTGTATGTGTAAACATATGTCTTTTATCTATTTTGCATTGGTTTTTATATATGATACAAGATTCCCATTGTGTCCTCTGGGTGCCCCTGTCAAAAATTAGTTAATTGTAAATGTTTGAATTTATTGCTGGGCTATTTTGCTCCATTGATTGGCCTCTGTTTCTGTTTTTATATCAGTAGGATATTGTTTTTAATTCTAGAGCTTTGTAATAAAATTTAAAATCTGAAGCATAATGCTTCCAACTTTTTCTTTCTCAGTATTGCTTTAGCTATTCAGTTTTTAAAAGTGGTTCTCTCTGAATCTTAGAATTATTATTTTTTCTATATCTGTGCAGAATGCCATTAGAATTACTAGGTATTATGTTAAATTT